ACACCTGAGAGTAAACGTACAACAGGTAAATAAATAAATCCAGGACCAGAGAGAAAAGAAGACTCAAATAAATGTTCTTAAATGTAATGAAAGATTATTCAGACACTGGAAATACAATGCAGTGCCTGTGCTGAGTACTGATCCTACACTGGTGCTCCTTTTCTCTGAGTTTATATGTATGTAAAATAACATGAAGGCATAGTGGGGTCTGCCTCTCGAAAGCTTTAAATAACTAAATTAATGCAACAAGTACAGACACTAATTTTCATAATGAAACTTTATATAATGTAATTTGAATTAGTCAATAAGCATCCAAAGATTCAAAGAACATAGCACGGGCCAATCACAAGATCACAATACAATCATATCTGTATAAAATGGGCCCTTAACTGAAGTTTGGGCTCATTCTTACCAATGGCTGCTATGCGCAGCTGCTGCATATGAGCCTCAATGACAGAGGGATCCTTGGAGCTGTAAGCCCCTAAAGAGGGGTAGAAGTTGGCCCCGATGTCATCAGGTGGGATGTGCCTCCCCTGTGGATACCCCTGAGCCACCTTAGAGTCCCAGTGTGGCAGCTGAGGATGGTCCCAGTGGATGTATTTCCCATCAAACTTGGGTTCCCATACCACGTGTAGTAGAAGACGTGGACATAGTAGTTTGGAGGAGGGAACTTCCTCAGTGTAGCCTCCAGCTGAGCATCTTTTCCTGGCTGAGGAGAGTCATTCATTTTGTTCTGCTCGGGTTTATGGTCATCTCTCTGGATCTGTTTGAGCTCCACGCCATCAAGGCTGCCGAACGCAGAGTCCTCTGGTGTGAGCGACTTCAAGACAACTGTTACTATGAGCACAAGCAACACCAAAGTGATCAACGTAATGCAAAATTTACGTCTGAACCTCGCCATTCTTCAGTCAGTGCTTGAGGCTTCCCACGTTTCACTGTTCAGCCTGAAGTGATGGATGCTTGTCGGACAGGATGCCATCGAAGCTTGGTTACAGAGTTTTTGTTTAACCTGGAGGTTTGAGGAAACAAGAGATGTAAGTGTTTTTCAACTTTGGTTCAGTTTACTACACACACAGCAAGGCAACCAGAAGGGTAACTCCTCGATTGAGGGCTTGGTTTGAAAAAAAATATTAAAACCATATATCTATTTGTAGCTGATCCAGAACGCTGCTGCTAGAGTCCTCACCAAAACCAAGAAAATGGATCACATCAGTCCAGTTCTGAGGTCCTTACACTGGCTCCCAGTCTATCAGAGAATAGACTTTAAAATCCTCCTGCTGGTTTTATAAAGCACTTAAAGGTTTAGGGCCAAAATACATGAGTGACCTTCCTGATTAATTACCGAACCATCCAGACCGCTCAGGTCGTCTGGGACAGGTCTGCTCTCTGTCCCCAGAGTCAGAACCAAACACGGAGAAGCAGCGTTCAGTTTCTATGCTCCTTATATCTGGAACAAACTCCCAGAAAACTGCAGGTGTGCTGAAATTCTCAGCTCTTTTAAATCCAGGTTGAAGACACACCTGTTCACAGCTGCCTTTCATTAAACAATTTAAATAAGATTTTAAATTTCAACTCTGCACTGTAACTTTGAACTCTTTTTATATTTTTACTTTATTTATTTCAATTAATTTCATTTGAATTATTTTTATTTTAACATATGTTCAGATTGAATAATTCCAGTGATTTTCTTCTTTTTACTTTATTTATTTCAATTAATTTCATTTGAATTATTTTTATTTTAACATATGTTCAGATTGAATAATTCCAGTGATTTTCTTTTATTTTTACTTTATTTATTTCAATTAATTTCATTTGAATTATTTTTATTTTAACATATGTTCAGATTGAATAATTCCAGTGATTTTCTTTTATTTTTACTTTATTTATTTCAATTAATTTCATTTGAATTATTTTTATTTTAACATATGTTCAGATTTAATAATTCCAGTGATTTTATTTATTTTTTTTTATTTTTTTTATTTTTTATTTTTTTAATGTTCTATTTTAATGTTTCTTTTCTTTCCTCTGTCATGATGCTTTTTGCTGTCTTGTGTGAAGCACTTTGAATTGCCTTTGTTGTTGAAAATGTGCTGTATAAATAAACTTGCCTTGTATGTTTAGGGCTTTGGCTCTGAAAAACAAAAGGAGTGCTTAGAAAAATAAAAATGTTACACTGTATGTTATTTTAAATGACTACAGGAAATGAGGAAGTCCTGTCACATAGATACAGTAACAGTCACTTCCTGTGCTTTATAAAATACAGTGTAGCATATACTGCTGTTAATCGACGCCTATAGACAGAAAACAAGCAAACATTCAACTCTACCTGCATTGATGAACTTTGGACTTGTCAGCAGCTGTGCAGAATAACAGAGGTTACACATGGTCACTTTAATCCTCCGTTACTAAAAATGTAGCGTGTTTTAATTTAAAACTGGCTCCGTTTAGTCGTTAATATTTATTATTTCTCAAAGAAACAGCAGAACAGCTTGAACGAGTATTCATTTATTATTTACACTGCATGAGACGAGACGAGACGGAGCCAGCACTTCTGGTTCAGTTGCTTATCCCGGAAGTTAACATAGGAAACTCAACCAATGGCGAAGGTGGGACCCACCCTACTCTGCCTCTGATTGGCTGGTTGTTGTCGTTGGGTTAGAGATTCAACGGAAAGTATTACAGATTGTAGTATTTTTTTTTAAACTTCAATTTAACCCCTCAAACACATACAACTGAACTTTTTATCCCTTGTTTTTATTTTTAAATATTTATTTCCTCTTATTTCACTTTTAATTCCCTCTAATCAGATGCATTTAACATGATTTCAGCGGTGTAACGTACAGCATGGAGTGATATGTTAAATAGGTAATTTATTTGTTGTATACAATGACATTGTAATTTTTTCTGTTGTTATGAATAAAGGGGAAAATAGTAAAAAGCAGTGTGATTGCTTACGGTTAAGGTACAAAGATGTCGTCCCGCAAAATATCACAGAGATGTAAACAGCTCTACTACGCATGCGCAATGGTCGTGACCCATTCATGTTGTGTAGGAGGCTGATGTTTTCTTTTTTTTTTTACTTTATTAAAACTATCTTCATCACGTTTATGGTACAAACAAATAATTCAATCAGATTGTTCAGATATATTGTCGTTAAACATACAAAAATAAAAACAACAATAACCAACAGGTCTGTTTATTGATAAAAAGGTCTGTATAGACAGAAAAAAGTAAGAGTAAAATAACAGCACAAGAGTATCTGCAAGTATATTTTTTAACTCAGTTTGTTCAAACATAAAATAAGAAGGTCATTTCTCTGAAACATATATTTTGTGAATATAGAATTTGGCAAAGATTATAAGAACATAAATGACATATTGTTCATTGCTGTAGAAGTTATGATTGTTAAAAATTAGGAAGATGATGTTTCTCTCTGTTTCTCGCCTTGCAGCGGTGAAACTGAGTGAGAAACTTTTATTTACAGTTTGTGATGAGAAGGAAAAATGTCATCTTTATCCATTTGGAAACGTATGTAACACAAACATCACCTAATTAAAAAACACCTGTAAATAAATTGCAAAATGCTTTATAAGCCTCTGTGTTTCATTATGTTGCATTATTTCAAATAAAAACATTCTAAGCGTTTTCTTGTTTATTTTGTAGTTTGCTTACATCGAATTCTGAAAAGAAACACTGGAGCTCAACTTCATCAACAGGAACAATCTGTAAGTTAAACCAAATGCTAACATATTAAAGGTGCACTGTGTAACTTTGGTAGTGAAATATGAAAGTTGGAGAAGTGAAACAATTCTATGTTTCTGAACTAAATACACAAACTCAAATTCAAAGGAGAAAATGGCTCCCTGGAACACTGATTGGAAAAAGCTAGCAGGAGCGTAGCAGTTTCAATGTTGTGGGCCCACCAACAAAACTTTCCTCTGAGGAGAGTTTGTGTATGGAGTTATGAACATATATACCAAAGAATCTGTCAATTTCACCAACTTTCCATTTCTCTACAGAAACTGCATCTTTAATGAAGAGATATATATATTTTTTTGCAGCTAAATATCTCTTGGCTACAAAATATGTTTTCTTTTCAAGGAGAGAGAACAAGATCTGCTTGCTTGGTTGATTTATTTTGTCAAAATGTTAATCCATCTGCCTTGTCATTTACTTTTGAATTATTCAACTTTCAGACATTGGCAAAAATTACATCAACGTTCATGCCAATATTAAAACATTTCTTTGAATGTTAATTAAAGTCCACACTTGATTGAAAAACTCAAACTCAACATTATCTACTTAGACAGACCGATGTTGATGAAGGAAGAATCAAACCCGCGAAAGTCTTCTAGGCGCAGAAGGAAAAGGTCTCTCTCCAATGATATGCTCTTCTCCCTGAGTGCTGAAGACTGGGATAAGATGCTGTTTGAGGAAGTGGATCAGCAGGTTTGTAAAGACAAGCTATTTCATAAGCAAATTACACATTACAATGAGCCATTTTAATCCTCCATTGTTCACTATGTTTCATAATTTACAAATCAAAATCTTCCCTCAGAAGAACTCTTCAGCCCAAGTACAGAACACCATCATCTACTACACGCTCCTCTGTCTGAAAGTGGGACTGTGGGTCGCCTTTGCTTGGATCTTGTCTCACCTCCACCTGGGTGCTCCATGTTTTCTCCTGCCTTTGGTCCTGTGGTTGTATTCAGAGCCCATGCACACGGCTACAAAATGGGCCAGGAAGCGTCTGCTGGCCAAAAAAGTCACACTTGGTGGAGTGACAGAAGTACATAAATGAAAGATCAGTAAAACACTTCCTTTTCCTTCTGCTCAGCTTATTAATTCGACACAGAAACACACTAATTGTATATACTGTAAACTTGTCTAGAAAGATTTCATTTAATTTTGAGACACGTGTAGAGGAATTGTTATTTTTTGTTGAGAAAATAGAGACATCATTTAAACATTGACTTCTAGAAAAAAAAAATGGCAACAACTTTGGTTTCCATCCATTTTATTGAATTTGTAGACTTTCCAACAAACTTGTACAAATTGCAAAACAGCTTTTGGTAACACCGCTTTGTTTCCTTCTTATTATTGTCATCATTATTAGGAAATAAATTAAGTGAATAAAAAGTAAACAATGTGAATAGAGAACAAAGAAATACAACAGAAAAAAAAAATTCCACAAAAAGCAGTAAAGAAGAAAAAAAAGAGGCAACTGTTGTCCGCAAAGGATCAACTGCATCTTGTTAAAGCCGTCAACCAGGCTAGTCGCTGGTTAGTCGAACAGTCAAACTGAAGAGCCCATCATGAGCTCTCTGGTTTGAATTCTGCATTACTCTTTTTAACCACCAGGTGGCATCACTATCACATAGGAAAACTGCCTGGTCCTGCCACACACTCCTGACTCCACCAGCCTTCTTACAGTGAAGAGGTTTGGTGATGCGAAAGAAGTAAAGCTGGCATTTATGTGGAGCAATTTTGAAGGTTGCATTTTGTTTATTTTAAATATTTGGTCTCTTCACACTGTACACACTCAGATAAGTTACACACTTGAAAAAACTGCAACATGTGCTGTTAAATATGTTCATTCCTTTTTTATTGAATTTTTTTTTTATCCAGAGACAAGTAAACGGTTATTTTGTAAGCACTTTTAGTACACCATGAATGTGATTTTGTGTGCAGGTAAATAACTGACCATTGGTACCAGTTAATTGCCTGAGCATGGATTTTTTTTCTTTCCACTGGCACAAAATGAAAAAAAGCATCTCTCTGGAACTGTCACTACAAATTCGAGATTATGTGGCTGAAATTTTCTTGATGAGAACTAATAATAAACAGACCCAGTGAAAAAACTGTCAATACCAGCCCTGTGTGCAAAGTGGCATGTGTTTGTGTGGGTGTGGAGTCGAGGCACAGGGAGGCATAACAGAGGGGAGGAATCGATGCCCAGAGGGCGTTGTGTTGTCGGGTAGAGCGTGTCCACTGCCAGCAGCATCTGATTTAGCCTCTACATTTCATTCACGCCAGTCTCTTCACATTCTTTGCTACTCATGGGGAGGAGCACTTTTCCAAATGGTTAAATATAGACAAAAAAGTGCACCACAAACCGAAAGGTTCACCACACATGCTGCATTGCGTTTCAACTGCTGAACATGAGAAAAGTTATTTGTTGTCCGTGGATTGGGCACTGCAGGGAAACCTCAGTCTCATTGGAATACACTGGAAGAAACTCTCTACTTTCTGAGAGGTCAAGGCAACAAAAACAAAACCAAAAAGTTCAATCTCTAGTTTGAATTCCTCTAACTCAGTCGCTTTGCCTCTTTATACAGAAGGCCTTTCCTTACACGACACAGAACCTTGAAAAACCTCAGATAGCGTTGGAAGTAAAACGACAAATCATCCGTTAATAATATCAAAAATTCCAACAAACAGGCAAAAAAAATTAAAACAGATTGGTCACAGCAAATTTATGTACACAGACACATTAAGAAAAGAGCTGTCAGTGGAGTTGGGGAAAGGGCGGTGGAATAAGGGAGAAAGGGGGAGAAAGATTTGGGCAATTAGATAAGCCCTGTGTCTTCGCTTTACAGGGGAGTTACAGGGGTTGCCAGGATGGACAGGGTGAGAAGGGGAGAGGAGGGGGGAGAGGGAAGGCTGTACGTTCACCTCTTCTTTGGGGCTTGGGTGGTGCGGGGTGGGGTGACAGGCCGGCCAGAATTTACACCACCATACTGGTACTTTGCCTTCTTCTCCGAGGGCTTTAGGATCTTTAAATAATGACACACAAACACAGACATGGAGAGAGGAAAGACACGTATGTGAGTGTGTTTTTCTTTTTCACATGCACGTCAAATGATCCAGTGTGTTCCTTTAGTTTTAATACTACCTGGAAGGAGCACATGAGGGATTCATCAACACTCATCATGCCGCCTGCATTGTCGAACTCCCCGCAGTAGTTTGGAGCAGAGAAAAGTGTGACCAGTTGGCGTTTGGCAAAGAACTCGTATCCATCCTCCACAACCTGTGAGAAGACGCATGACATTATTCATCCGCCTACATCGATCAATACAAAGAAACATCTCCAGCTCGTCTCAGAATCCTTTTGCTATCATGGTGGAGTGTACAAAACCACCTACACCTCAATCAATACAAAAGAGCTGAAATAGCTGTTGCCAATTCATTTCAATCCTGGTAACTGTTTCATTTGGTCAGCAGGTTCTCAGTCTCTGCTGGACATAAACATCTCTATGATATCTGAATGCCGAGTAAAGCCCCGTGTCCACCTAGAGTTATTTCTGGGCAGAAAAGCACTGGCTGTGCACTTGGGAGCGCTTGCATGAAGTGTTTGTGTGCTGAGAAGAAAAGCACTGCACGTCCCTCCCGTCTCTATGACAACAGTTTGTTGACCACAGCGACTGTATGACCATCATAGCTCCGTTACTTTTTTCCTATGTTTTTTTTTAACTTAAAGTCGTTTTTACCCTAGTAGACACGGAGCAAAGAGGATATGGGTACAAGACACGATCCGTAGGAGGAAAAAATAAGGGGAATATCATACTTTATCAATCTTCAATTGAGAAAAGACATCTGCGCTAAAGAAAAAACACTAGGTGGACACAAGGCTTAAGAGTTTAATAAATGATGCCTGGGGAAAAGAGATCAGAAGGTCTATAAGTGTGTGGTTTACCTCTGGTATCTGTATCTTTGCATGAGTCAAAGTAATTACTTATGCCAAAGTCACACAAACTAATAGAGGCCAGCGTTGTAAAATTGCACAGGCAACCATTTTTGAGTAAAGGCCAGACACAGAATTCTTTTAATTGAAATGACCTTGCTATTCATCCTTTATATCCAGTTCTCTACACCTTCCAGATTACCTGGTGGGCTCTGCAGATGAGGTCCAGGTCGTGGCGGTTTAGGAACTTGCTGACAACATCTGCCCCGAAGGTGAAGGAGACCCCACGGTCGTTCTCTCCCCAGCCTTGTACATCCTTATCGGGGTCCGACCACAGGAGGTCACACAGCAGGCCTGAGAGAAGAGAGATGGAAAAAAAGGAACACAGATATCAGGAGAGAGTCGGAGGGGGAACATGAACACGGAACAGAGGAAGAAGTTTGTCAGAAGTCCAACTGACTTTACTGATGTAACGCAGAAGATTACAAGGTGATTTCTTGTAATAACCATTCTTTAATGATAGGAGGCTATGTGATGTCATATTAAGATTCACTTTAACACCAGAGCAGGCGAAGGATGAGCTTACACCTACATTTATGCAGACACATATTCACACACTCTACCTGTATCAGGCACATCTGTTGGCCTCATGATCCTGCGAATCTGCTCCATCGACTGCAAATCAGGCGATAGCCCTAAGTAGAAAATCAAGAAGTTACCTTAGCTTGAAGCTACAACAACTTACTTTTCAAACAAGTTTATAACAGGTAATAAAGGTTTCCTTTTTGGGACATGGGAATGAAAAAAGTACTGCAGGTGTTCTTACCTCCATGGCAGCAGAAGATCTTCTCATCAATGATAGCAGCGATGGGGAGGCAGTTAAAGCAGTCAGTGAAGGTCTTCCACAACTTGATGTTGAACCTGCGCTTACCTGGTCGAGGAATAAACATATGTTTTTAGAACCAAACAACATATGAGCTGTCTGTGAATGTATTAGGGCTGTCACAATTTTTCTCCCTCGATCATCTCCAACTATCACACATCAAAAGACAAAATATGCAAAAACACTCCAAAGATAACAGAGTTTTTTGATGACAGTGAAGGTTTCCATGGTTGATAACTGTCAGCCATATGCAATGGGGAATGGCATTGTTAAGCAGCCAAATAATAAAATGTATGAACTGGTTGTTCCCCTCCAGATGTATCCATAAAAAAGCCCCATGGTATAAGGTGGGATTGTTTCCACAACATCCTACTCACACTCGTCGTAGAAGCCGTAGATGCGGTTAATGGAAGCACACTCGTGGTTTCCCCTGAGCAGGAAGAAGTTCTCTGGGTATTTGATCTTGTAGGCCAACAGGAGGCAGATGGTTTCCAGTGACTGTTTCCCTCTGTCCACATAGTCTCCCAAGAAAAGGTAGTTTGCCTCTGGAGGGAAGCCTCCGTACTCAAAGAGCCTCAGCAGATCTGTGTACTGCCCGTGGATATCACCTGAACAAGGGAGGTGAGGAAGGAAAAGGTGAACAGAGGTAGCTAGTTAGAGTATTTTTTTTTAAAGTTCAGCCACAGAGACAGACTGCTTTACTGTACCACTACAATCAACAGAAAGTGGAGCTGCTAAGATATTAAAGGCATTCAGACGAGGTCATGAAAATATGTAAAAACATCATAAAAGCAAGAGCAGGACTAAAGAGAAAAGCAAATATTTGTAGTTTTTCAATCTCCAAAGGACTATTCACCCATCCACACACCAACTCCTGTCCCATTGAATCCATGTGATATGCAAAAAAAAAACAGATTTGTAGGTTGGTGAGGATTTATGGCTGGGTCGAGAGCAGCATGCCTGGAGATAGACACACTAAATGAGCCATTACCACTGGCTCAGATCAATGCCATGGCCCAGGGAGATGAGCTACCCAGGGAGAGAATGCTGGCAATCCAGGTTAATCATGTAAAAGGAAAAAAAAAAACAGAGGCGCATACACATATCCACACAAACTAACTTGAATGTAACAACTCTCACAGGATTCAAGGTCACTCTTGTCTCTTTCTGTTTTCAGTCAAGCAGCAATGTTCCGGAGCTGCTCTAACCAAAGCACGGGATCTCAGCAGGGGGGAGCGTCACGTTCATCACCTAGCCAAGACCTGCTTCCTTTTTTAATCCTCAGCACCAACTTAAAGACCTGCTCTACTTGGGCTAAGTTCTCCACACACACACGACTGCAGGGACAAGCCAAGGCAATGATCACAGGTTTTTTGGTTACCAAATTGAAGGCAAATTCAAACTATTTATGGCAGTGATTCAACACAAAATGGCAAAAAATACTAATTAAAATGAAATAAAAAGGCCTTCCCCAGCTGTGCAGCCGTCCGGCCCTTGGATTAAAACCACAGACAAGAATTGGAGATTCGAGTCATGGCTGGAATGATTTATTCTATTTCCTGGTGCCCGGCAGTATTTGGAGGCACCAAAACCCAAACCACAAAAGTGCACCAAACCTTTTTGACAGCAGGCCTATAGTTATTTTTGCCTGTGTCTCAGGATGGCAGGCAAAAAGGCACACTTTTCCCCACAAATGAATGACTAGGAAGGAAGAGCTCTGAATGTCTGCATTATAATTTATGCTCACATTGTGCGGAGCCAGTTGAGCTTTGTTTTACCATCCTTCATTTTCTTTGCCCAGGACACGCAGCTGCCAGCTGAGTTTAGATACAACTAAAGGCAACAACCAGGTCACGAGGCCTGAAAACTTATTTGACCTTTGTCATTTGTTTTTATCTTTACATTTTTTCTGAGAATGTCAGAGGGAGATAGAATTAATTAGTTTTTCCAAAGATATGATGGCCTCCTCAAAATAATGTCTTATTTTGTCCCACACCCCCAAAGATATTAAGTTGACAGTCACTGAGGTGTAGCAAAGCCACCAGGAAACAGTTATATAGTAAAAATCTACAGAGCTTGAAACTGATCTTTTTCTAAAAGAAAAACACTCAAGCTAAGTTTCAGCTCAACGAGTCGCTGTGATGAAACCTTTCAAAACTTTGTAATTATAGAGTAAGTAGAAGTTTTTTAAACTTTATTAAGACTATTCAAACAAATGTTCTTAACATCAGAACTAATTCAGCCATAGGATAGCATTATATTCACTACAACATCACAACCTCAAGTGTGATCGTGCTTTTAACCTTTCATTTGGGTACAACAACTATAACTTGAACTTTACAAACTGGATTTTTTCCCCATGAAGGCAACACAAACATTTTGCTGCATGCAGGCTACTTTGTGTGTTATGTATGTCCACATGTTTTTGCAGACCAGCTACTTTGTTTAACATACATCTACATGTGTGTTTCAGTTTATTATGCAATCATGCTTTGGTGTCCTGCCAATATTATTGTCCAACCAGTTTTTTTTTTACAATGATGTTGGCATACAATCAATGAGTTGGGCTCTAATTAAAGAAATGCATGTCTACATTAGACCGATATAAGATTTTTGGGGCTGATACCTATATCGATATTGGGGAAAAATCTGATACTGTTATATTGGCCGACATCTTTTTTAGCTCCATCTTTGATCCGTAGAAATGGATATACGCATTTATTGAGTTGATCCCTCAAATGCAGTTATCAAACACTTGTGGAAAAGATTTAAAATGAATACAAGATGGTCACTCAACTGGAAAGTAACCGAACAGATACGTGCATCAGCGTGTCTCGTGTAATTCAATGATACTGAAATTACTAGTAATATCAGCGTACATCTGCGATAAGGTTAGCCAATACCAATAGTCACTTGATATTCTAATATCGGCCGGAATTATCAGCTGGCTGATTAATCTGTCAGTCTTTAGTCCGCCTTGCTTATACCCGGCCTGAAGACGCCTCAAAGCTACAGATAGCACATTCAAACATGTAATTACTTATTTCAGCGAGCCAAAGATTCTTTTTCATTTTGGCAGCCTGAAGCCAATACATGCTACACAACGTTCTTAATACACACACACACACACACAATAGTTTAAACCTTTACAAAAAAACAACCGGACACCAGTCATTAAACAATTAGCCTTGCTCATTTGTGTGTCAGTGTGGTCAGACTTAAATGAAGGAATAAAACCACTTTTGTAGACTTGGCAACTTGGAGTGTTATCACTGCAGAGACAGTCAGGGGGAGGTCAACTTTATGACCACATGCCTAACAATGCTGAGCTATGACTCAGTAATAAAACCTGGATGAAATGGATCATAAAATAATATTCTTTCACTAAATCTATTCCTCATCTTTTCTGTACCTGTTTCTGCCGGTTCACATTATTATTTATTTTCCGCACACCGGCGATGTTGACTGTCTTTGGTCAGTTTTTATAAAATGTATGACTTTGCTGCCTGCTTCTATTTAATTGGCTGTCTGTTTATAAATGTCTGCTTTTTCAGAAAGGTCACCTCTGGTAAAGTTTACTCTAACGACCCTCGACTCTGCACTAAGCGTTTCTGCATGACTGATTGCATTTGTGAGCATTCAGTCCCCCCCCCCCCCCCCCGCCCGTCCCACTACCAGGAATTTTAGGACGGCAGTGAATTATTTACTCAGCATTGCTTTTGCAATGTCAAAACAGTCCGACAATAGCAGCCAAAGAGATGAAGGGTTTTTAAAAGCAGAGAGAAAGGAAGACAAATGGAAAATGTTATACCTGAGGCCAATGTTCTAAATGAGCCAGACTTTTCTGAGAAGACAACGCAACATAAAAAAACAAAACGTAATGATATTTTAAGGACACAGCAGTGAACCATATGATCTTTGTTGCCATGCTCCTATGCTCTGAAGGCAAAAGGCTAACAGACACTCACCATTAGAAATGAAAAAAACAATAACATAGAACATCTAGGATGCAACATTAATCTCATTATTAGTCTATCATGGGAGTAATAAAGCTGTGCTCATGCCTGACCGCATGCATAAGACAATAAGCTGTCGAGTACACATAAACGTAACATCAGCGTGAGCAGCATCAATGGGTAATGCTGCTGCTAATGCTGTTCATCATGAAGACAACACTTTGCTGACAGGCCGACTGTCAAAACCTGACTGTTCAGAAGTCTGTGTTGCTGTTTGAGATGGATTGACGCTTGCATTTAGATTTTGTTTTGTTGTAAAGGACCCACTGACTACTGGGGCAAATGCGCAAAAATACTAAATGGAAAAAAATATATAAACACAGTATTATCTTTTATCTGTTATTTAAAACAATAAAAACAGATGCTTAATTGCAAGATATTGGAATATCACCTTATGGACATAAATAACACTGAATCAGTGAACGTCAAACTGAGGAAAAACATAGATCATGTGCTGGAATACTTACTCAGAGACCCAAAATAACATGAAATACAAACAATTTAACAAACAACGTCAGTGTAACAAACTACCACTGGCATTACACAGTCAGATTGATGTACTTCTTAATCCTCTTCGTCTGCACACAGTTTATTTCAGTCAGTACTTGCACTTACAAAGTCATTTGAGGCATTCTATTTGGACTCTGACTCTCAAACTGTAAACAAAGACTGCATGTTTGTGGTTTTCCTTCAGCTAATCCTACAGGCAACAAATCAATCACGCTTTGCGCTAAATTAGTAAGGTCCTATTCTGAATGAAGCACTTGGTAATTATGCAGAGAATTGTGATTGCAGGGTGCTCTTATTTTAGCAACAAAATGACTGTCTTGTAGCGCATTCGCACAATGAGGATTTGAATATCATTATCGTAAACAACACTGTGTCTGAAAATCCAATTTTCAAAGTATCCTGTTTGAATCGATGTTAAGCCAAACAGTGTCAAAGCAGCCGGCTCGGGCAAAATGATGCTAGTGGCATGAAGGTTAACATGTGAGAGAGAGAGAGAGAGAGTAAGTACAGAACCTGATCCATTTGGCCTTCTGAATAATGAAAGGCGTCCACTGTTTGGTCTTTATAGTCGATGCTGGTGCTATGAAAGCTGCTGTCATGGGGTTAAAGGCAAGTAATCAGTCTGGGGTTGTATGTTGAGCAACAAAACAAAGAAAGGGAGACAAAGGAACCTTACATGGTGGCGGTGGCGTATAACACCACCTCACACTCATGCATATTTCAGTCATGTGTTGGGGTAAGGTCTATAGAGCTGAGGGCATGTGAGGCCTTTAAAAAGTGTATTAATCAGACCAATGTCATGTTGATAAACGGTAAAACCATTTTTTTTAATTGCTCACCACAATCACATTGATTACTTATGCAAATGCACATGTTATGCTGCCATCTGATGTGACAGTAATAGGCCTGCAATACAACCATCTCAAAGTAAATGTGTGTGGGAGGGAAGAGGAATGAGGACAGCAACAAATGAACCGTGTGTAGGCCTGAGTGTATATGGGAGCTTGTGTACGGTATTTTCAAGGACTGCCACATTAGACAGCTCAGAGTTGTTTGCAGCTTCAGCACTACACTGCACTGCACGGACCAGATAAAGCCTGTGGGAGTGTGCAGAGATGTGCAGCATAGCAGCTAGAGATAGGGATAGTGTGGGTTAGCATTCCAAATGTTGAGAAGAAGTTTGCTTGTGAACTGCTTTGCTCCAGTACTGTCTGTACAGGTTATGTTTGCTATATACTTTGCGCAGTCTGTGTATACATGTGTGTGTGCAATCTCCCCTATATATGTATTTCTTTAATATGCAGAGAGTCACAGTGACTCATTTTCTGTTCCAGGATGAGGTTATGGGATGGGTTACCCACTCTGGCTCAGTTCACACGTACTTTGGAGGAAAAGACAAATTTAAAATAAAAAACCGCATGGTGGGAGCATAATGAACTAAAATAGAAGCAGTGATGTGCAGCACTGACCACAGATCTTCAGAGGGGCCTCGAGCTCCAGTAAGATGGGCTGGCTGAGGAAGATCTCCCTCGATTTAATGCAGAGGCCCCGCACCTCAGCCTCCGTCATCTGGACAATCTTCCCCGGGCGACATCCCCGCACTGGAGAGGAGAGAAAGGGATACCGTCAGTGCAGTCAACAACTGTTATCATCACTGTCAGTCCTCACGCAGCAGCTCCAAAAACCTCTCCCCAACACCATCAAGTGAATCTCTTTCAGGCCATGATACAATGTCTTTTTACCCTAAGGGGAAAAGAGAAAACACTTACAGCGGATTTACAAAGCAATCATAAAATCTGATGAAGTGTGGGTGTAATGACTATAGCTTATAGCTGCTTACTTTCAGCCGTACTTAAGAAGCCCACTGCTTATACTACGAGAACAGCTTGCATCTTCTGCAATGGTGTGGGTTTATTGGCTGTGTATTTGCACTGTTGGCTTAAGCCAACTTTAAGGCATTTTGCCAAAGCTTTTGTTGCAGATTTTTCTTGTTGAAAGGAGGAGTAAAAATTGTATTCGGTGGCTACCGTCAGCAGCTAACAGAGTCAGAGATATGATCATGAGATTAAACAGAAAAAATGCCTCCTAGCTTATGATTCTTTGTGGCTCCTATAAGACAGAAGTTAAGTTCTGTCTCACTTCAATAGTCTGCATTTTATATATCTGATACTTGTGGTTGGTTTAAGATCTGAACTGTCTTGTGAAAAGATGGGTTTGTTTAAAAAAAAAGCAGCTAGAGCTAAAGGTAAACAAAGGCAGAATTCAAAATCCTTTACAGGCTAAACAAGGTCTTATACTTCTTGTTTTTCCAAAACAAATTTAAAGTTGTGATATCAGGTTTTGAGATTCACTGTGGCCAAATGTCCTGGTGTCACCCATGACCAACAAGTCTTATCTACAGTTAGCCTTTGGTGACTCAAAACTCTGGTCCAATAAACATCCACATTCCTTCACACTAGGGTTATCAAAAGCTGGGGATTGAACAATAAAAAAAGGACCTTGAGCAGATGTAGCAGACACACTCATATAATAACTGAAAACTGCTTCTTCATGTTTGGTTGCTATTTGGGCATTTTTTTGTATTTCAGAAGTAAAATATGTTAATATTATGTTTCAGCATTATTGATCAGGCTTTTAATGATTTTTGGGTTGTTTGGGGGCAATGATTTGGGGCGCCTGTGGCGTAGTAGTTAATGTGTGCGCCCCATGTGTGGAGGCTGTGGTCCTCAAAACCTAAAAAAAAAAAATCAACTTAATACATAACCACAGAAATATATTTCTATTGATTCTGTCAATGTCTTCTCTCATATGTAAAACTGCTAGGAGGGCTGTGTTAAGATCTGTTACTTGTACTGCTGTTATCATAAACCACATTTGTCAGCTTGGTTTCCCATGGTCCCAATTACCTAAAATAATCACAGTCAATCCCATTTTTATCTCTAAATTTAATTCTTGAAGTTTGTTTTTAATTAGTTGATTGGCAAAGTTGATAATAAAAGAATGTTCTAAGCATTTATATTGGATCTATCTCAATAAAACTGATAAAATATCATATCTTATCTATACAAGATTACAGTGATAAAGCTGTTAAAAAGCTGTATGTTCAGTGAGAAGGATTATGGGAGGTATTGGAACATCCCCAGGTCTCATGGTGTCAATATAAGTGCCAATGTTTTTTTTAATGCTATATTAAGTAAATGGTATTGGACCACAATTGTACTGTACAGTGAATTTAATTTAGGTTTCAGTCTGACGTCACAAAAAGCAGATAAAGCTCTAAGTGGAGATAAAGCATTGCTGACAGAAACAAAAGAGATGAAAACATCCATGACTGAGGAATTATGTAATAACTAACCATGTTGGTATTGCCTTTCAGCTAGACGCCCACACAAGATTCCAACAAAAAAAACAGCTGAGCCAAGTGAAACAACTGCATGTTGGTCTGGATGTGAGTTTCATGAGTGTTATGGTCTTACTGGCAAATTAGGAGGCAAAACAGCAGGATGTACAAAGTTGATTTAAAGTGGTATTGATGAGAAATGCCTGAAGATTGGTATATATGCATTTGTGAAGACATGCATGCTTCTTACACACTGCACTCCCTCACTGCCACAGACTCATCATTCATGAAATCCCACCAAAAAATCTCAGAGAACTGAGCAAAGCAGATGAATATGGATCATCCCAGATGGTGAATCTGAGAGACAGAAACTATTCTAGGGTGGAACCAACCTTAATGAAGTGCTGCTTTACACCATCACTTTTTCCTTATCATCCATCTACTATATGTGCGCTGCTTCATATGGTGTGAAGCATGAAATTGCAGCAGCAGGGCTTTTCACTCAGAAGCCAGGCCTCATCAGAGCTGAGACAGTTAAGCTTGGATGCTTAGCTGCTCGGCTTTAGCGCTGAACCTTTCACTGTTTGCACTTTCAATGGGCTTGCACTTTTTGAAAGAGATTATATACTTAAGATCATTGAGGGGCAAAGGCTAAGATGTAGCAATGACAAGGATTTGCAACCATCAGACAGACACCATATAGTCATTTGTGTGTATGTGTGTGTGTGTGTTGGGATTTTGTGACTGTACATAAGCGTGGAGAAAGTCACAAAGTGTCCTGTCAGGTTTTAATTCCAATGAGTAAGCATTCTCATTGACTCTGGGATTTTCCTGAGGACCGAATTTTTACATTCAGCAACACTTACAGTCAGCTATAATATGATGTTAGGATGCAAAATAAAGGCTCAAGGCCTTTCCAATTAACTGGTTTACTAAATCAGCACCCGAGAGTTTTTAATCTGTTGGTATCGTTACTCTATGCTGACCGCCAGCAAAAATCTCTGCATGTGTTTAAAACAGAAAATAAGGGGTTTGTTGCATCGTAAATAACAAACATCATCAAAATGTAATGTAATATCTAATGTATGATTTAGTGATTTTCCTCTTTATTAATTAACTAAATCAACGGCCTATCATTCAACTTTAATTTTGTTTAACACTTGCACTATAGGGCTGCGTTTGTAATGGTGTTGGCTGCACTCGTGGTGCAGACAGAGTGTGAGTGTGTCTCCATTTTATACTGGCTGTGGTGGCAATGGCACCAATGAAATGCTGGTGGCAAGCTAGTATACCTAACTGCTGATCCAAAAAACTGATTTTTCACTGGCTTGAAAAATCACCTGTTGGACGAACTCTGATCAATTTTCACAGACAAAAGTTGAAAAAAAAAAAAGTGTTGGTAGTGTGAGAGTCTTACACCTGCTCAGTGTCAGATCAGAAACATGCATGTTCCAGTTACATATCAAGGCGAGCGACTACTAAAACCATTTAATTACATTAAATAACACACACCTCGTTTGAGACACAGACATAAAGCATTACACAGAAGTAATGGAAAACACAGACTCTGCAATCTGCTAAGTTGTTGTTTTTTTTTTTTTAAAACACTGGCCTCTCCCTCGGCCCTGAATTTTACAATCGGTGCATCTCTGATCAAAACAGACAAACGAAACCAAGAGTTAGATGCTGGGAAAAGAAAAGCTGGTTCTAATGAAAGTTTTCTTTTAAACACTTTTGAGTTAACTTTCATTAAATCCTTAAGAATAAGTTGTTCTTTCAGGTAAGATTGAGGCTTAAAACCTGGATGCAAGAATTGATCAAAACTAACCCATCCTCTCTGTTATGGCAAAAACATCTCACCTACAGAAGATGGTGATTTATAATGTAAATTAATCACATTCCTTCATGATTCACATGTGCTTGATTCTTACTGTTGAGTAACTTCACACCAATATATCCAGAGCTGAACACTTAGGTGTGAAAGTTATGATGGAGCAATGACATCCAAATCAATTAGTCATGTGTTGTTTTGAGCATAAAAAAATAATAATATAAAAAAGGACTAGTCGCCATCTGGCACCACGGAGATCACAGCTAAACCGACAATCTATGAAAGAAGTCCAACTTGTATTCATCACATGAGCAACATAATCAACAAGTCACCACAGTCTGAGAGAAATAACAAAGAGAACACAATGTGTGAAGGACCGACGCACTTCCCCGCTGAGAGACATTTTGTCTCACCCACAAGAGTAGAAAACAGACGACGAGCTGTTGATTTCAATCTAATTTCACCACTTGACAGCGATATTTAAATTTAAAAACAGAAAAAACGAGGAAGAATTTTCAAGCAAGGACTTTTCTAAAGAGAAACCTTCATATATTAGTGCTGGCATAGTTTCTCATGCCTCCACAGATACGGGTGGAAAGTATGCCAAGGACAGCTGAATCTGCCTTAGTGGTCTGCTCTGACTCATTGGAGATCTCACAAGGGAACAGAAAAGTCCTTGCCTTCTCTTAAGCAGGTGGATCACCAACACAAAACGAGTCTTTCATTTCTCTTTCTCTGCCAAACACGAAGTCTGTTCCTCACACAGCACACAACACGTTTGTTTACCAAGTATGAACGCAACAATGTGATAGTGAGGACAGCGACACACGACGTTGTCCTATGGCTTATCTTCAAAAGAGTGTGCATACAAACATTTCTTTCTTATATCCTCATTTTGCAAACCTTCTTTTAGGGTTTTGTTATTCACTTGAATCAACAAAATCAGGACAGGCATTTAAAGGAAATGTAAAATCTCTGAATCATAAACACTGAATCATAAGAACAGTTTCTTCCCCCAGGCTGTCACTCTGATGAACGCTAAACAGTCACAGTGTCAGACCTGTCGCGGTGAAATGACTCTAAACCTAACCGTCACTGTGAATATACACATATATATATATATATATATTATTTAACTTCAATGATCAACATACGCACACTTACTTATGTAAAGACTGTAATTGACACATCTGTCACATAACTGCATTTTACTTCAGCATCTTTTGCACTATGCACCACTGCACTGTTTCATGTTTAGTCATGTAAATATTAGTCTTTTCTTATTATGTTTATTGATGATATTTAATGTTGTACTAGGGCTGGGACAAAAACTCATATCTCGATATTGTTTAGCTGAACGGCGATACTCGATACATATCCATATGTATTTTATTAACAGTGAAAACACATGGAAAATTAAAATACCTGTTTGTGAATTTGAAAAAAGTAATATTACAAAATAAAAATGTTCCTTAAATACAATAAAAGAGAGAGAGAGGAGGAGCAGGGTTAAGAGGGAGAGACAGTCAGTCATCATCAGTGAGATAAGAAAAAAGTTACCTGGCACCTCTGTAAGGTTATTTTAATGCAACATAAACTATATCCATATTAACGATATTGTCTTACCCTATATCTTGTTTGAAAATACATCGATATATCTTAAAAACTCGATATATTGCCCAGCCCTATGTTGTACCTGTACATAAGAGAGCACAGTTCACTGAAGTTAAACTCCTTGTGTGTGTGTGTGTGTGTGTGTGTGTGTGTGTGAGCATACCTGGCCCAATAAATCTGATTTATAGGCTACTGATCAATCAACAACACCTGCAAGTGCAAACCACGAATAAGTGAGCCACAAATTGAGTAAACAAACAAAAACTTACAACCTTTCATGTTTGTTTGGGTTAATTGATACAGATATGCAACACCATGTGATGTGTGAAAAACCCATTTGCCAACTTACATTACCCAGTATATAGAGTAAGATTTAACCATGCAGAGAGCAGGTGATTAGGTAGAAATCTGTGTTTATATCGTATTTTATCATCATAAACTTAATGTAACTTAATTGTAGCAGTTAACCCGTTTTAAGCAATGCCACATCAAACACAGGACAGCACCTCCTCCTCAGTTACACACAGCACTAGACATTAAATAAAATATAAAATGAGCAGAAAACGACAAAAAAAAACCTCAGGCAGAAAGTTCAAGTCAACATTCAGGCAAAGCCCACGGCACAACAAAAAACAACAACTTGGAAAAGAGTAACGTAGCTCGGCTTTCACTGCGAAAACTGAGAAATGTAGGCGTCCACCGCTGAATGTTTATAAACACGAGCAGCTAACAGTTAGCCGGAGCTAGTCGGGGGAGGGGGGAGGGGGGGACGCACCGTTACTATTGGCAGCAGTTAGCCCCGACACCGCTAACACATTCCCCGCTGCGCTACCCGAAACTCAACCTTCAACCGGACACTGAGAACAACGAACAGAAAACAACATTTCTCATTAAAAAGACTATTTTTTTTTAAAATAAATTGCTCACCTTCCAGAAGACGAGAGATGAGGCTGTCCACGTTCAATTCACCCTCCGCCATCTTCAAACTGCCGCTGTTGTACAGTGTTGGCCGGTTCGATTCCCCCCTGCAGACACCAGGGGGCGCTGTTATCAACAACACAATAGCCGTGTATCATAAAGGGGTAAACACACTTTTATCCACCTGTGAATATGATTTTATTCTCGCTTTAAGGCGGTTAGGCAGACTTTTTTTTTTATTCTACAGTAACCTATATCCAGCATATAATAGAAGACATTTAAACCTTTAAACTTTAGCCTGAGTTGCATATATCAGGTATCAAACTATTGTGGGCTCATGTTTTTCATTTTTTGTATGGGTGGGATATGTTTGTATATATGTGTTGTGTTGTGTGCTGGCTGCTGGAACACCTACATTTCCCTGCTGGGATGAATAAAGTATATCTTATCTTATCTTTAATAAAGTTATTATTTTTGAATTTTATTTGTACGTGTATATGTGTTTATATATGTATGTATGTGCATATGTATAGATGAATGTTTTATTTTTATTTCTTGCTTTTACGCTTTGCCTGTAAAGCACTTTGGTCAGGTGAAGCTGTTTTTAAATGTGCTATACAAATAAACTTGATTTGATTTGATTTGATTAAAGCTTATAGGCACTGAAGTACCCCCAACTGCTCAGGCGCTCTTTCATGTGCAGCCCCTCACTCTGAAATCTTTCCATTAGTGCATGTCCATAGGATGCTGTTTGTTCAGTGTGTATATTTCAGCCTATTTGTGCGTGTGTGTACTGTAGCATGGCTCAATGACAGAGTGTAGAAGTAATTCTCCCTCATTGGAGTCAATAAAAGACATCATCTTTTTCTTCTTTTTATCAAAAAAAGTCTCAATATCTGTTCATGTTTGCAGTGGTGGGAGGATAAATTAGAGCGTATCATCAAGTAGTAGCAATCACTAAAGAAATTTAAATTTGCTACCTATGTTATTCTTTCAAAATGTTGCTTTCATACAATTTTTAATATTTGTTGAATCAAAGAGACACGTACACTTCTAAAGAGTAAATTAAATGTCGAAGCCACTTCAGGTTTTTTCCTGTATCAATACATCATATCTCACAAAGTGATCAAGTGTTTTATTAGTAAAAATCAGCAATCAAATAAAAGTAGGGGAGTTATTAAACCACTCCTAAATGTAATGGCGTTGCAGAAAATGAAAGTAATCAAAGTCCAGATAGAAGAGCCTACATCAGAACTTTGGTAAAATGTACTTTCCAGCGCTGTGATGCTTGCAACATTATTAACAGAGGCAGTCGGCGGCTTTCATCACTGTAAAGAGGTCGTAAAATAAATCGTTTAATGTTTTATCAGCCATCCATGTCACTGGTGATAATGGTTGTCATTATACACTTATGCTGTTGTAGTTTATAGTATAGGGATTTTTATATAACCCCCATTAGCGCAAAATTGTGATAGTTTCCTGGAATTGCAGCCCACAACATTCAGAGAATAATTGGTGTCAAGTTGTCTGGATGCCAGACATCCAGCTACACTGGATGAAAGTTAATATAAATGATTGCACAAGCTTTATTAAAAAAACACTGTCACAATAAAATACATTTGAATTATATAAAAAAAACACACAATGAAGAAAAAAGAAATAATGGCTAATTACATTGTATTTTCTGGCTTTTGTCACAACCCAAAAAAGGTCACACAAAGTTAGATTCGTATTAACATGAACCACAAGTCCAATGACTTTACATTCAGCATTTAATTCAAAAAATCTTTTCAGGCATGTTGTGAATTGTACCATTCACAGTGTGACGGTATATCTTTTGTTGAATCAAATTACAGCAGCAGCAATAAGTTAATGTGTGTGAGTAAATTCAGTATTTTTCCCATCAAATCTACAGGGTTTGTATTGTAGTGGTTGATAATTGCATTGCTAAATGAAGTCGGTTGTAAGGCCAGCTACAACATATAAATACGGGATAACGCATCAAAAACAGCTCGTCTTATTTATTGCTTTAGTTAAGTAGAGATTGGTGTATTTTTTCCTGCTTTGCCCTGAGGAAACTTCACGTCTCATTATATAAAAACAGCTTCATCATGCTCAACACTTTCTTTAAATATGTTGATGTCTTCACTTAAATATTCCAGTCCAAAGCTATAGTAAGCAGCACTTTAAAACACTGTTCCCTTCATCTCTACTGCAGAATTCATCTTTCTGTTGCCTCTCTTGGCTCTGCAGGAGAGGAGGAGCCAGGTGACTCCCAAGCCAATCAGAAGCCCCGTTACAGCCAGCACAGCAGCGAGCCATACAGGCACATAGTCGGTGCAATCAGGGGGGAAAGGCAGGGCTGTGCTGTGCGTATTGGATGCTGGGGAGGTGTGAGGTATATCTGTGCCGTCGGATTTGGGTGCTGTGGTGGTGGGCAGACTGGGTAAGCTGTTCACTCTTGTGAAGATGAAAGGATGCTCCTGAAACACACAGAAACAACCATTACATTCCCTTTTATGAACCGTGTGTCATACTGTACAGATAAATCAAAACTGTGAGTCAACTTTCTTACCTCGGTGGGGCACTTGAGGCTGTCTCTGCTGTTTCTGAAATTGTTGTACGTCTGTTTTTTACCCACCGGCTCCAACTAGAGATAAAACAGAGCACATGTTTGCTCAGTCTATGACTAAATTGCAGTTAAAGATGTGGTTACTTAGGCAGACTTATCCAAACCCTTTCCCCTGTCAAACACAGTTAGCCTTTAAATAGCTCACCATGTTATTCCACAGAGCTGTAGCCATGTCAGCATGACCCCGTTCACTGAAGTGGAAACAGTCCTCAGAGAAGTATGTGTCGTCAGGTCTCGCATCCTGGAGGAAAAAAAACATTACTTTTTTTTTTTTTAGAAATGATTCGCTTTAAGTGAAGGGGCTTGTGAAAATGTTTGTATATGTGGAGGTTTGGATGCCCACAGTGGACCTACAGCATTCAAAGGAACAACGGTGTTCTTAAAAAACGGCTGAACGACCACAGCAAAGTCCTCCCTGCCATCATAGCGACCTCCGTACACCAACTTTTCTGTGTCAACCTGAAGGCAAAAAACATCATCGCACATGTTATTCAGGCTCATATTATGACGGTGCTTTGTTGAAATTGATCATAATCCTCTCCTGATATGTTAATAGTTTGGTTAAAATATCACATAACACACTTTGGTATTGTAGTTTTAAATTTAAAAAAAACAAACAAAAAATGTGGAATTGCAATTGCTGTGCAAAAAGATGTCTCCTAATTCACTGAAAGGGCTTCTATAGCTCTGCAATGAATCAACCATTGAAAGAAAATCAATCCCTGACATTTCTTGATAAATGATTCACCACTGAAGTCATTTTTCAAACAAAATATCAAACATTACTGTAGCTGCTCCCAGGTTCTTTCATGACTTTCTTCGTCATTTTTTAAGGATTTATTTCTGAGCTTTTTGTGCCTTTGTGGATAGAGTTTGAGATTGGGGAGAGAGAGAGAGTGATGAATGACGTGGGTAAGAGGCCACAGGTTGGATTTGAACCTAGGGAAGGACTACATCCTCTCTACATGGGGCGCACAAAATAACCACTTGTCCACCGGCGCCCCTTTCTATTTAATTTTTAAGAGTACATGACGAGTCTCGGATTGTTGGACTGCTGGTTGGACAAAAGTTTTGCTTTAACCTCCTGGGAGTTGTGATTAGCATTCTTTTCACAATTTATCAATAATGAATCCCGCAATTCTGAAACTTTTCGATTCTTTACTCACTTCATTTGGCAGATTAATGTGATGAAAATCAAATGTTACAGCTAACTTCCACCAGATGCGTGTTCGGTCTACCTAGCTGTGACATCACATTTCACGCTGGTGTGTCTACATCTTCAAGCCGGATTTAGGTGAAGAACAGAGAAACTTTCTAAAAATCAAACTCTGTTGACGCATCTTTCTGCAGAGCAAACATCTGAGTGAAAAAGAGCTATACGACCCGCCTCCCCTTTTAAGAGAGAGGGGACTTGAACTAGATTTTGGTCACACAGTTTGTCTCTGCCGACCTGTAGTTCCCGATTGATCCGTTTCACTTCTGCCAGCTCGAGGGAATCCTCTCCAGGCAACAAGAAGCACGGGCAGACGAACCTGAGGATAAAGTGTGAAAGAAAATACACAGCTGATATTGTGAAATAATTACATCTCAATTATATTTGACTTACAAGAAATACACAACGCTATACTTTGGATTGTAAAAGTTTGCAGGTGATTTTGGGATAAAGTGTACTTTGAGTAACTACTCATTTTGAAATATTTATTTTCTAAAAAGACAAGTTTAATCAGTGTTATAAGAAGTGTTGTTGTTTTCAAAGGAGTAATGTTCCTGGGCCTCAGTGGTCTTTGATTCTTTTAGAATTGATCCGGCATGAGTGGATGGATGAGCATACTGTTGCAACACATTGCATCCCAGACTGTCCCTCTTGATCCTGCGAAGACCTTCAATTTCAAGGATATCCAAGACGTTGACAATCGTCCTGGGAACCTACGGCCAAAGAGCAAAGAAGCATGATCTTTAAACAACTTCAGAGACTAAATAGAGAATTCATCCATTTGTCAGTGGGCGAGGAGGGAAGGAAATGTGTGCCTCTAAATCTGGGAAAGAAAACTGCACATTTTTAGTATTATTTACATATTCATAACAGAAAATATCATTTTACCTCTTCATAAAGCATGTCTAAGCTTGTCATCATGTGGTGGCTGTAGTTCTGAGGTGACAAAGTGGCCTGCAGTTTGAAAAAAACAAAAGGCAATTTAAGACAACACACAATTCACAAAGCTTTTAAGTAATTTATAGTGGACACATGTACAGGCATTCCCTTTCTCATCAACACATATGCTCTGTGGTTAAAAAAAGGCGATAATTAAGGCACAATTAAAGGAAACTTGGATAAAGAGGACTTAAAAAGATAAGCTAAAGAGCCGATATCGTGCAACATGCATGAGCGTACGAGCAACAGCCAACCCTACGCTGTCACTACAGACTCAGAGCTCATCTTAAATTGATGCTGCGCTTTGATATTCTGCTTCAAAGCACAAACATTAAA